TACGAGTGACTAATTTTGTTTAGATTTAGATTAACTACATATTTTTAAATAGATACTTGAATCTTTAACTTAAGAAAGTAAGTATCTAAGCAACTTGTACATACCTTGTTTGGTTATTATCTTTCACGGACATTCATCACAATCAAGATATCATACATAGATTATACTGAGGTTGAATGGTACAAGGTATACCCTGTGTAATATAATTATGTAAGTTATTATTCTGGTCAAAGGTGATTACTATATTCATAACTCATAACTAAGATTATAAATGCGAACTTGCGTTTGTTTGTTTGTTTGTTATGGTTTTAAGTCTTAAATACTAAACCGATCATCATCATTATTATAAACACGTCCTCAGGGATATACAAAAGCGTAAAGGAAACTATATTTGTCTAAAAGAAAATGCAATGTTCCCGTGAGTAAGTTATAATAACTTAGATGAGAGGTCTTCAATACTAACCAAGGATGTGGATGAAAGGTCAGGCTTACTCAGAAAATATTGTCATATTATAACTAAAGCAACTTATTAATACTAATTGATAATATGTTTATTATAAATGTGCACCTACATCAGGCTAAATAAGTCTAAGAAAAAAAAAAACATCTATTTTGGCTTCACTGAAAATATAACTTTAGAAATCAAATGAATCAAATAATAACTTAATAGATCTCAAAGTTGAGTTTTTTGTATAAATATGGACCTACCTACTCATACTACGGTAGTTAACTGTCAAGCCAGTTTGTCTTTAATAAACGTCAAAACTGTAAGTTCTGTAGAGAATTGTAGAAAATAACAGCTTGTAACGTAATATTTTTTTGCGACCCTCCTTAGTTACTTTTAATATTTGTTATTACAAGCAAAGTATAGTACCAAACTTAAAAATATTTACAAGATAGTATTTTTGCCGGTTTGAAATGATATTGAATTACATGAGGACTGTTAAATGCCCTGTATACTAAACCTATCACAATAGGTCTTATATAGTATTTAAAAGATATTATGACAAGGATAATAATACAACCGTCATGATAGCCAAATTACGTGTTATCGAAAGCATGGGTTCATATAACTGTTAGTTAAAATAGATTTAAACAGTTAAGTTTTAGACACCGGTAGTCGCTTACTTTTAAGCGAGCCACGTGTTTCCCGCCATCTTAAAAGCTATGTAGGAACGAAAATTGCCTACGTTTATTATAAAATATATCATTCCTAACAACACGTTATGTAAAAGAATTCCAAAGTGTTAGACAAAATTTACAATTTCTCTAAGATGTATTTAATACACCCATAATTACCATGTAAGGAGACACCAAGCTGAGAATGTGAAATATTCAAGACAATGAAAGCCGGCAGCTGCCGTTTTGCCGCCATTATTTAATATTATTAAATATATTGTCAGGCTAAGTTTCTAGACATTGGTGTTAATATTAAGGACTAGTAATGCAGGACTAGTTGTCATCCGATTTCAAATTACTTAAGTGCGAAAATGGGTAGGTACCTCCAATGATTTTATTTGATTTGATATAAGTTTGCATTGATATACTTTACACTAGATTAGTAATTACCGTTAACTTACTTTTCACACATGAGTTGATGGTTTATGTACTGAAAATAATTTAAATAACCCTATAATTGAATTAAATAATTAATAATTGTAATTTAGATTCAGTGTTACCATGAAAACATCGTTTTGGTTTTCCCACATCAGTGGGAGATTTTTTAATTTATGAAATAATATGCTTTTAAATACTTAATAGTACTGTTCTTAAATATTTTGGCAATAATAATAAAATATAGTAAGAACGGACCAGAAGTTGATAGGGCTGGACCGATCTTCTTTTTTAGGCACCGGTTGAACGTTCACCTCTTTCCAAGCTCGCAGTACTGGAGACTTTTGTACAACATAAACAATTCATTGTATTTTATTAATTAATTATCAATTTTATAAAAAAGAAATTCAGGATAACCATTGTAACAAAAAAAAAAACGAGTTATTTTATTATTAATACCTATTTGATTCATTTAGAAATACGTGCGTTCCGCGAAGTATTCAATAAAAGTCCAGAACGATTCAAAGAACTACCCTTAAATAAGTTTGTCCCAGCCCTGAAAGACTGGTAAATTATTAATACATTTTATTCGGTCAAAGACTTTTTAAATGGTGGAGAGTAGTAGGTATAATGAATAAAAAGTTAAATTATAATCAATACACAAAAACTGATGAATAATGACAATAATAATATATCTAATACATAAGTTTTTTAAATAAAATGTTAAATTTGCATGCTATTTTCATGCCTAAATGGGCCTGTTCGCATTATAATAAACTTTTGATACCACAATATGAACCAAATATATATATTGAATTTGAATTATTGTTATATAATAATGTGGCATAGCTTCTCCATTATCGGCCTCTCAGCATTCAAAACTGAACTAAATTTAGAAGATTTTCTAGTAACGTAAGAAAAGATTACGTTTCTATAACTGGGAATGTCATGGAGCTCTGTTATCGAATCTCTCTGTTATCAATTTAATACAATACCTCATATTATAGGTATCTATATTGTAATATAAATTAAACTATCCGAAAGCAGTATAATATTTTATACATATGTCTGAAATTGCCTTATATATTGTGTTTCAAATATTTAGTTTTCTATCATTATGTTCTATGGTCAATACAATAATAGAAATTTAGTTAAAAAATGAAGAATCAAATTTTACAATAATATAAGATGAAGAAAGTTTATTTATTTTTGTACTTGTGACACAAAAAATATCATCAAAAATCTTATTGTTTTAAAGACTATCAAATCCTCTTTCGCAAGGCATCTCAGATCTGTCTACGATCTATGTGAAAGAAGTAACTAATAGAATTATAGGAACGACCGTGATTTACAAAGAGATGGGATTCAAAAGTAAAATTGTATCCTAACATTAAGGCAATCACGTACATACTAGGATGTGCTTAAATTACCTCATAAGTTGGACAGATAGTCATTACAGTTTCCTTTTATAGAATAATTGGATTTTTTATTAAATCATGACCAAACAGTTTTTTGTGGAAACTTAAGAACTTCTTTCTGACAGAGACTTTTTTAATTCTGTATGTCATTATTTGTTAACCAAGTAAAAAAGAAAAAAAGATGCAGCCACTATTGTACATAAATGGACAACACCGGATGTAAATTTTTGAGTAGAATTCTCAAATATAAAAAAAAATCCAACCTAAACAGTTAGGTACATTTTATTGTATGTTTTTAATCTTCCTTTTCTTATTTAGGAAAATAATGGGAAACGGCAGTTATGATTTATTTTCTCATATAATTTCCTTGTGACCTTGGTATTTGTATTGTTTTTATTTTCACAATTATGATATTCCTCGGGAGGCCATTATTGTAAGATCGTCTACGAGAGGGTAACCACAACCACATACTTTTCACTATTTTTTTATTTTTTTATTTGTAACGGATATTAAGTAGCAGTAGCAACTTTTGGAATAAAATGAACCGCATAATAAAACTTAAGTAGCTTGTGCTTAACTTAACGGTGTATACCTACTGAATAAAATTACATCACAATATAAATATCACGGAATAATTCCTTATAGTTTTATTTAATAAGTAGGTATGTATCTGAAACAGTGTTTTTAAGTTTGGCAACATTGCACTGCCTGAAGAACAAACGAAGATATGGTTTCCGTCACTAGATATGAATATCGCATCGACAATTTTGATTGCTTGAAATAATTTAAAAATGTGAATATTGATACTATAAACTTACGAAACTGTTGTTATCTATCGACTTTATTAGGATTTGAGTTTTATACTTAGTGACTGGTTGGTAGAACAAAAAATAAAGATTTTTTGTTTTTGGTTTTGATTTTGGTTTTGCTACTCTTTTAATACATGAGACCTCCTACAATATTGAATGGATCGCAACTGAAATAAATAGAAAATACACATTTTTTAGACAACTAATCTGAATGATAACGTAGTTGTACTACTTAGATTGTAGGCTTATTACTATGAGGACAGTAATAAATTTTCGCTAGCATTTATTGGGAAAGCATGAAGCAAGGTTCAAAGCTCAAGCAATTTTCGATTGAACCCTGGAAATATTATGAAAGTAATATAATCTTGGAAGTATCAAAGCATGGCAAAAGACGTAAGAAATAATTAGCCGCACTCCTCAACGAGCTTTAAGTAATACCGTAAATTTAAAATGGCCGCCGCCCAGTTACTTTTATGTTGTCTCGTAATCGCCTAATATTGATTATGCATACAGTAATAATTGTTTTAATCACTTTGATGTGGATTAATCGTGCACCTGTACAATGTAGTCTGTGAGTTTTTATGTCCAATGATATGCTAAATAAAATATTAATGCGAAAGGACGCCTTATTTTGCGAGTTATAAACAAGTACCGCCAAAATTGATGCTGGTTTCTGAATATGACTTTTTTTTTGATTTTGTACATTAATACTTGATGTACTTATTTGTAGGCCTGACAACTAGTAAGCATAACTTCATGATAATTGGTTGATTAGTTAAGGTATGAAAGCACAAGAGACAACTAGAGTAACTTTCGCAGGTAAGGTATTAATTTAAATTAGAAATGAGTTAATTATTTTTTAATAAATTTTGTCATCTGATAGTACCTATTGTTTAGGAAGTGTTTGATAGTATTTTCATTCAAAATAATAGTTTTGTCGTGAAATCCTGACTCGAGGAGTTTAAAAGGTGAAGTCTATTTGGAAATAAGAGTTTAATTCCTCAAAAGAAAAATCGTGGAACAAAATCAAATCATAACAATCAAGTGTAAAATCTAACCAAATTTTGTGATACACCTTAGTCAGTAGCATTCATCGCGATCATTGATGAGATTATTTTTTAACATATTAATATAATAATTTTGCAAGCTACGTAACTTCTCTTCTATTACTTCATTTTTATATAACGACTCTAGTTAAAAAAAAAACAAAAATCCTTACCTTCTTAAAACACCGCCGAGTAGTGACGCATTGAGGCACTCTGGCGGTGACAGCCTCCGCTGCACCTCTGCGACTGTAACTTTGTACTTGCTCGTGGATGACAGGAGAGACAATCTGCCCGGGACTGAGCAGAATACGTCGTTTGGTGCGCAGGACCCCGTTCCACCTAAGCCGTCTCGTCCTTTCATTGCTAGACAGAAATAGATATAAAATTGTAAAAAAGGCCAATTAAAGTATGTATTAAAGAATTAAAACGCAGTGTATATGTTCTATGAACCTTGCAAGTCTCGTAAAGTCTAACAAGTAAGAATAGCTCTAAGAATTCTTCTTTAAAAAAAAGTGCATCCTCGTATTTTTTTTTAGTTTAAGGCAAATAACTTATACATATATTATATATTATAGTAATACTCAAAATGAGGGTAAGGATAATACGTTGGTCCATTCAGTATAAAAAAAAACATATAAAGATAAGTATATAATTTTCGACGTGTTTTCTTTAAAAGCTTGTTTTAGAAGAAGAGTCCCTTGCACACTGTGTCAGGTGCTCATGAATACCTACACAAATATGAGCGCGAAAACTTGATCTTATTTGTAAACACGCAAGTAAATACATATAGAAGCGTTAGATCACAATGCATAAACAGGTAGTGACGTAATTGCATCATCTAGAGCTGCATGGAAATGTATTTGTCAGCGCCAAATTACTCTTCAAGTCACGTTTGCTAGTAATTTAGAATAATAAGTTGGTATCACTGACTTCACAGATAAATACACACTTACCTACTATTTTGTGACTTAGGACTATTAATCTAACGACCATAGTAGGTAGATTGATGGATACAGTTGCTAACAAATCGATTACATCCTGTGTTTAGATAATACAGGAAATTATATTTAGCTTGTTATTTATTACATATATTTTGTCTATACTCGCTAAGTTATTATTACGTAAGTGCAGTTTAATTATTAAGTATGTATTTATACATTCTGATTGAGATGTTTAACATAATTATAATTAATGAAATTATAAAAAATAACCTATCCTATTAAGCTTATTGACGTAAGTTGACTTAACAAATTTCATTTAAACTTCATTCTAAGTAATTAATCGTGGATACTGTGTGTATTTAGTTACTAAAACTTTAAAGTGATTTGATTGTTAGTTCTAATCAGTTTAATATCTGCTCGGCATGTGTTGTACGAACCAGACTTGTAATCAGATAAGACTAAGATACTTAACAATATTTTTTAGATTTCTCTCATTTCGGTATAGTAAGTAAATATAATTTTTAGGTCCCGGCCCCAAAAAGCAAAGTAATGTACTACGTACAACGAATACAAATTAAAATGATTACAAAATCCCCGGCTTCAAATATCAACAATAGGTGCCTAACAATCACAGCCACGCCCCAAACATACGCTCAGCATGATCTCCATTTACATTGTAATATTTCACTATGGCAACCCTAATACAATAAGTATTACTATGTCATTAACTTTGCACCATACTGGCTATTTAGCACCCTGGCCTTTTATACACAAAGAAAAAATCATAGGTGCTTACATTTATTACTAGCCAATTGTACTTTACACCCGACTACTTGCAAAGTGAGTATTTGTCCCAAAAAAGTTCATTTTGAAATTTTAACGTCTTTTACCACGCTTGTTATCGTAATGGCATTTATGTTGAAAAAATTACATAAAGATAATTACTTTTTTCACTTACTAATCTAAAATTAGAATGAAAACTTCCATTAGTAGCATCTATTCGTATTTATTAGAGACTAGTGACACGCTTCGGCTTTGCATGATATCTTAAAAAAACCTGTTGTAAACCGACAACTTCATCAAAATCGTTTCTACCATTTTGGAATCCACAGGGAACATATAGACACATTTTAATATACGTGAATATTAGAAATGTCTACTGTTATTTCAGATTGATTACTACTTGTTAAAAGTATGGTCGGTAAATGATTTATTGAAACTACCTTTATTAGGCATTATTATAATTTTACATGTTTGCTCTAAGCTAGATCCGCAGTTGTTTCTGAGTCACAAGTTGTTGTTTAGTAGGTACTAGTCATGGAAATTATAGTAACTTTTAATTTATTTTCTTTTGATGAAATAATTAATAATAATCATAAGTATTTTTTATTTTCTCTCACACAGAATGACATTTCTTGACATATTAAAGTAGATACACAGTTATAGGTGAATTGAATCTGTGTGAGAGACTGGTATCTGCACTAGGTACACCTGTATTACAGATTAACAGCCTCTCCTGACACTAGGTGCGTAAGTGTTATCCTGTAGGTATAACTTGATTAGGTGAGAGCTAAAGCAAAGTGAAGTGAAGGAAAAATGTGTGTGTGTGTGTGTGTGATGCGTGTGAGTATGGTGTGTGTGTGTGTGTGTGTGTGTGTGTGTGTGTGTGTGTGTGTGTGTGTGTGTGTGTGTGTGTGTGTGTGTGTGTGTGTGTGTGTGTGTGTGTGTGCGTGTGTGTGTGTGTGTGCGTGTGCGTGTGTGTGTGATGAGTGTGAGTATGGTGTGTGTGTGTGTGATGAGTGTGAGTATGGTGTGTGTGAATAGATGTAATAACCCTACAACGATGAAGATGATGGTGAACGGATGTGCGTGATTGAACGTGATTTATAAAGGAAATACATGGCTACTAATATGTGTAGATACGACTATACTTATACAAAAATTAGATCTTAGATAATTGTCTATTGCGGGACATAATATAACAGGTTTTCCGTTTCCTCATAACTGAGTGTTTTCAGCCAGTCAGAAATAGCCCTTTTGCAGCGATATTTTGAAAGGCAATAGATGTCTAAAATTGCATTTACCCGGTTATTATTTTCAGTCACATGTGATTGTGATTTCGTCATAGACAAAGATAAATGACATTAAATAATAATAATAAACTTCTTATTTCAGACTAAGGTCTATATTTATGTTAGTCTTTGGTGTTAGTAATAATAAGTAAATTAAAATCAATCATTTTTTTTTAACTTAAGTAGTATAATTAAGTAGCAGTGATTTTGTAAATTTATTTATTTTTATTTACACTACTTTATGTACTCTTGTAAAACGGCGGACTTAATGTCCAGGGCATTCTCTTCCAGTCAACCTTTGGGTGGTGTAGAAGTCGTGAGACTACAACTCACGCACATATGTTGCATTACCATTCAACTAAAATATACACTACATAATCCTACATACTTAGATCTGTATACAAATATATACACAATACTGTTTATACACCGATACATATTTACATATACACAAACATACAAATCTACAATTTATTCCTACACAGTAAATGTAAGAAAATTGGTTGGTGTACTATCGATTGGATGATTCTGCCATCTCATTGAGAAGGTGGTCATGTACCTTCTTTTTAAATACGGAATGGTTAGTGGACACCCTGGCTTCAAGCGGGAGTGCATTCCAGAGTAGAAATGCTTGAACGAAGAACGAAGAGTTCACGAAGTCGGAATTGTGGGAGGGACAAAAGAGAAGCAAATTATTTGCAGAGCGAAGATTTCTGCCGTGATTAGACGACGAGAAACGGCACTACGGTGCAAGGTAAGTAGGTGAAGAAAGAGAGATGAGGAATGAAAATAAAGAGAAAAGAGGAAATGCAAATTATAAAATAAATAAATGAAAAAAAATTCGCAAAAGCGAATGGGTAACCAATTTAGTTGGGAACGTAAAGCAGACACGTGATCATACTTGCGAAGGTTGAAAATGTACCGAATGCAGGTATCAAGAAGGCGGTCCAGCTTGTTAAAAAGGTCTGCATTCAGGTCGAAATAACATACATAGTCGATTAAAGGAAATCAAGGATCGCATGAGAGTAGTTTTAGTTTTGGGAGGTAGGAAATTCTTGAGGCGATATAGTGTTCGCAGGTTTCCAGTTACTTTCTGACTCAGATGAGTAACCTGAGCTCGCCAATTAAGAGAAGAGTCAATAAGTAGATCCAGGTCCTTGTCCCTACGGGGCTAAAAGGTATGTCTGAACCGTAGCCGTAAATCAGTCACACGTGATTATGATTTTATGTCATCCCTAGTAGGTGCCTGTTTATTGACAGTAAAATATTCATGTCAACAATGATATCTTATCAACTGCATTCCGTTATCCGCACGAATCTCTAGATATCTTACATGCCAGCAGATATACAATTACAGATGTAAAGATCGGCACGCTGTTCACTGTAGGTAGCTACTATTATGCTTCCGTTGCCTACAAGTACAATTAATCACCTATAGTTATATTTTTTTAAAACCTTATTTTTAATAAAGAACTAAGATAAATAGTCGTCTATTAACTTTTGAATGCTGCCCGTATAACAGTACCTACCTTTTTATACACAAACAGTATGATTTTATAGACCACTACATATACCATGTTGAATCAAAGAGTAATTGCCGAACGGAGTATGCTACCTATTCAAATATCGAATGATTGATCGATACCTTTATTTATTTGATATTGATTCATTCGTTTTTTGAACGAGATGATTTTTTTTACAATCTACTCAGAAAAATCGATACACCCATCTGATAAGTGCGGCATAAAGTCTAATTACAGTTTTATCTATACCGGGTCATCTCCGTGTAACAATAAAAATGTTTGATAAGTTAATAATATGTACTTATTATATGTTCGTGCGATTCAAATTACACACGAGCCGTATGGTCAGCAAATTAAACGGCACTTTTAAGTTTAATCCGTGGCTAATGATAATAAATTGAGATCTTTTCATAAAATACTTCCCAGAGAACATAGCAATGATAATTTATATACAGAGCTGCTTAAGTATTTTTCATTTTAAGATGTGATTAACAATAATAAAATACATTGTCTTAATTCGTTTTACACGTAATTATGTATTCGTTACTGCAAAATAAAATAAGCATATACCATTACGTCCCAAATTTGAAACGTTAACTTAATTTGCTTGCGGACCCTACAGCGACTATTTCTAATCATTATTGCTACACTTTATCGATGGACCAACAAAAACTATGATAGCGTTTAACTCTCATACTCTATTAATTTCCAATAAATGTTCTGCAATTATTTATATTGGCCAAACTATTAAAAACTTTTTATTTTTTTATCTTATATACTACTACTTATTTTTTAATATGCTATGGAATCTAGATAGATCGAGCCGCAGTGAGCCAATTCTTAAGCTGACAACGCCACTACTGTACCTACCACATGCAGCGAAAGTCGTTAAAACTACTTATGACTTACTGATTGAAAAACTTTTTTGTTTATTCAATAATTGTTACTTACTTTTTAATAGTGGAAGATCAGTCATGAACCCCGTTGTGTCGTCCATGCCGGCATTCTGTGAAGAAATTAAAGATATGAAAAAAAACGTATTACCTATATAAAAATTTACATTAAAGTTAGTCTTCACAAAAAAACATAAAGTATTTTGTAAATTATACCTTTTTTACATAATTTCTTTCAGTCTGATCTCAAACTAGGCAGAGCCTGTACTGTAAACATAAGTAAAAGTATCATAGATAAATTACAACCAGACACAGAACAAATGACCGTGCTCATAACACAATACTTGTCATGGGTGGGAATCGAACCCACGACCTACGAAAGCGGGAATTTGCAGTCAGGGTCACTAATCAATAGGCCCGTCAGGAACAAGAAACTACATAATATTATGATCCGTACTCTAAGGAATACTTTTAAAAAGCTTTTGTTTGACTTAAATCATTAAACTGTATTAAAAACAAAATCGTTAGGCACCAATATAAAAGTTTTAGAAATATTTGGAATATCTAATTGAGGTTAAAACATCCTCAAATCTAGGTTTGAAAATTTCATTTGTATCATCATCATCATCAGCCTATCGCAATCTACTGCTGGATATAGGCCTCTCCCATTGCACGCCACTTAGATCGATTTTGGGCTTCTCACTTGTATGACCAAAATAAATGTTTGCATGAGTTACATTTTCTTTTCTGCGATTTAGGCTCATTGTCTCACGGTTTGGCACCTTAATCAAACAACCTTAACTGACCTCTTTGCGCTAAAAAGACTTAACAGTTTAACATATTGTTAACTGACTAACCACCGTCAATATATCATAGGTTTCTCGGGTCCAGTGTAATCTACGTCATCTTTTTTAAAAACAAAAAAAAATAAACTTTACGACATTCCAGTTCGGTGGTGAAGCATTTTTATTTAGCGTAACATTATTAAATTCCTTCTGTGAACATACATATTTCTAAGATATTGGATATCTATTAAAATATCGACGAAGCTGATGTTTTTAACTAAAGTGTAAGTACTTAAATGGTATTTTAATATATACGTATACCAAGAACGTTTACGTTTTCTTTTGTGTTAATACTTTCCATCCGTTAAGTATATATAAAATTGCTGACGAGCGTGATCAAGGGAACACTGTCCACGCATGACCACGGTTAACAGGGTAACTTATAAATATTAACAAAAAAAATATTATTGCGATTACGTCCCTATTTATATCCAATTGTTAAGGAGAACAAGTTTTGTAGTGTTGGAAGTGGTTTATTTTATTCTTACCGGCGTTTCTTCCGCTGAATGTAAAGCATGGTGCAGTGCGAGCTCGTGTTGCTCTCTCGCACCATAGTCCGCCCGTCTCTCACCGCCACCGTAGCTGAACCCGCCGTGCGATAACTAACACAAACATACAACATAAATACATGTTTATGTATTGCGTTTACAGTATAGAGGTACAGAAAAGGAGTATTATCTCGAAAATAAAAGAGTTTATTTAGGCGCTACTGTAGAGAGGGTTGGCAATTAGTAAGGTCTTACGAAAAAACGATAACAAAAATTAGTTAAATTATTTTAGCAAAAAATGTAAAATAGAATATTATAAACTTAAAAAATCACGTCCTATAGTAAAAACTAGATCATGAAAATATATTTCTAAAAATATTTTGTAAACCTTTTTCATAAATTGCCATTTCATCTTGTATAATGTCATCCGATTTCCCGCTCGTCCACGGCGCATTGTATGTGCAGCCTATCCACTCTAGAAAACCGGAACATTAAGACGGCTAATCTACTAAAGTGATCCCAGCCCTATCGATTCGACTGTGCTGTATTGTTGGATGAATTTATTGTACCAACATTGGTTTTATTTAAAAAAAAAATTGAGGTTTAATATCGTTTGAAATCAGAATTCTTTTGGACATTTAGAATCAAACCTTTTCTTTTTTCATTTTTTTAACTTAATAATAAGTAAGTTGCAAGTTTCTGTTTAATGTTTATAACGTAAAATTAAAAATGTAATATTACTTTTTAAGTGTATAATAAATCTTCCAAGTAAACTTAAACTTAAAACAAAATTCTTGTTAGTTTTTTAAAAGGGTACTCCCGCACTAGGAATATATCCTGTGTGATGTTGGGGGACTTTACAAACACTTACGTAACTGACACAAACAAGACCCAGACTCAGAAGAACAATTTGTGGATGACACAAAGTGTTGTCGCATGTTGGGATCGAACGCTTAACACTCAGCGCAATCGGAAGCTGCTTAAACCACTTACAACATCCGTGCAGTCAAAACCTGTCTAACAATTGTTTTTATTTGTAACTGCTGATATACGAATATTATATATCGTATGAAATTGTATAGGAAATTAATATCTTAATAATGCTATAGGAAGAGGGGTAAAAAACTATGCGGGATGCTTTCAAGAGGGGTGCATGGGGGAAGCTTACGCATATTTCCTTATAACGCATGCATGTGGATTTACTTAGATGATTTTGGAAATACGCTTCAGTAAAATATTTGACTGACTTTAACGTTGAACATTAGAAGGTAGTTAGGAAGGAATATTACAAGATTTTATGACTAGCATGAGTTTAACAACTCTTTTTTAGTTTTTCGTTGAACTTGTTCATTCTAAAAGTTGACATTGGCATATACCTAGCTTTTTTTAAATATTGTAGATAGCGTAGGTATTGAAGTTTGAGGTAGAAAATAAATATCCATACCATACAATGGAAAAATAAGCAATCAGTGTTGAAACAAGCGCAGATACTCTACGCTCAAAAGTCAAGGGCTTTAAATTTTTTTCAAAAGACAACGCCTACCAAAGCACTAGAAATTATCCACTGTCGCGGGGAACTTTACAAACATTCATGAAATGGACACACAAAACATTTGGACGCAGCACATAATTTGTGTATCACACAAAGTGTCCCATCTGGGGATGATCCCACAACTCTCAGCGCTGTAGCAACCGCTTAAATCACTACGCCTAATTAAAAACTGCAGCTACTCACAAAAACTACTTGGGGTATCTGAGTTCCTAGTACTTACATGGTGTGCATGTATCGCATCGTGATGATCCCGGTGATGCCGCAAGTGAGCATGGGGCTCGTGGTGAGTGTGATGACGCGGCAGAAGCTGCTGCGGGGCATAGTGTTGGGCATACTCCGCGCCGCCACCGCCGCCTCCGCCATAGTCCATGCCATGACTTTGCTGTATCAGAAGAAGAAATTAGTTAGAGAACTCGCTCGAACAAGTACTTCAAAAATAACAGATAATGTGTAAAGAATAAAGGATTAATTTAGAATGTAGTAACTCAACATGGATTTGTTAAGTTTTAGTTGTTAGATAGTACATATAATATTTTAAATCGTCGAGTGTCTCGGGTTCGTGATTAGACTAATTAGTTTTAATACCATATTTATAGGCTTAGATTGGTTAGTTTTATTAGATTGTATTTTCCTATTTATCATATGTATGTTTTTAAGAAAGAAGGATTGTTGATCTGTGTTCAAGAGTTTTTAATATAAACTCTGCCTATAGTGGGCCTAAATCGAACTGTGTTATATGTCCAAGGATATTATTTTTACTAATATGACTCTAATTTTGTTCTTAATGTTTTTATGAATAGTATCGACTAGAATGTTCTTATATTAATCGATTCAACTTTATAAATATCAATCTTCAAACTTCAATAATATGGTAAAATTAGCGTAAGTTCAACTTACTTGTTGTTGGTGATGAGGACTGGCGGGGTGCGGTGCGGGCGCGAAGGGGGGTGGAAAGTATGGCGGCTGGAAGTCCGCCAGCGAAGGCTGTCCGCCACCGCGGAAGCCACCGCCACCGAGACCCAGGCCACCACTGCCCAGCCGCTCCTGAACAAAATGAAACTATGGTTAGGTTGTCATAAAAAAAAGTTATCAATATCCTTTCTGAAGCATTCCAAATTGTACTCTATATTAATTTATAGTATAAACTCCCAATTCCTAACGGTCTTTGATAAATGCATTAGATGGATTTAGTACGACAGACAGATGGGCTGGTAGTTCTGCAGCTGTAACTATTTGAAGGATTGGTTTTGTTTTGTAAGCAGATTGCATGTTTTTGTTGTCTGACCTTAGTTTCAAAACGTACGTAATGATTACAGAAGAGCAATATAGGTTATTGGTATATTGTCTTCTAGGAATATGTAAGATATCTTGCTTTGGCTTCAAATACATGATATTAAAAAGAATTATAAGACAGCAAAAGCAGTTTAAGTAGTTATTCCGCGACGTTGGCGATATCTCCTGCAACATCTACAAGTCGCACAACGTGTCAAAAGTCGACTCTCAGCCGGCTGCGACCCGTGCGACTTTCATGTCCCTTTGTAGCTTTTGTTTAGGAATATAATAATCTCTTTATTTCGGAATATCCATAATTTGATAGTATACAGTTGACCTTAATACCTATGTTAGTACATGTAATTGGCATAAGTACGTTATTGTAGGACTGTCATATGTGACTGCAATGATACTCAGGAGAAGGTTAGGACTACCACGTACCCTCTGCAGCAGTGACGCCGCTCGCTTTCGCCTGATTACTGCAAAAACTGTATCTGTGAGCATCGGCAAACATGCCAGAAGCACAGCACCACCGTAGCAGCCCTAACAGCATCCTGAATACATTATTGTACAGGACCCGAAAAACACTAATGGTCTTCTGCGTGCAACTGGTCCAAAGACTGCACGTGCAAAATGTCTGACAGTACGCTTTAAAAAGCGTCAATTTACTTCCTTCCTTCCTTCCTTCACAAGTGCAACGTGCAAACCTTCGGACCAGCATGTTGCTTCTAACCGCCAGTGCTCTTCGTTCCCGTTCGACATCCAAATCATCCTTCATGTTTGATGTTACTATATGTCCAAGATATTTAAACTGTTGAACACGATTCAAGATCCCGCCAGATATATAGTAAAGCAAGGTAAACGAGTGGTCGATTTTTCACCGAAAACAAGAACCTCACTAATAATAGCGTGTTATCTTTAGGCAACATCTCAATGACAACTCTGGGGTATAAGAGTCTGAGGAAGAGTGGGCACAGGGCAAATGTCGATGTCATTGAGCGAGTCATATCATGTGAAAGCAGATTGAGATGTCTGTGCGAAATATCCCCAAGTAAATAATTATAATTGACGATAGTTTTCTTTTGCGATACATTGAGATTGCTTACACATTGAAAAGCTTATTATTGTTTGAGATTTGAAATTAGAATAGTAGGTAATTAATCGGTTTATCGTTACTGGCAGGTAAGAGGTCAATAGCTATTAAACCCAAGTGCGATATTTGAATTAAAGAATATATTGTTCTTCATTCTTTTAATGCATTTATATCACTGAGATATAAAAGTAATCATATCTTCATTTGAAACGTATCAAACCGAATAGTAATTAACACTGCTAATTATATGGAATCATCAGTACAATACTATACACCAACTAAATGATACTATTGTATGAGGCAAATTAAACGTCATTCTATAAAGAATGTATTCCAACAAAAGCTACATAATTCTTTTAGTTCGATACTTAAAACTTGATTAGGTTTATTTGTGCGTAGTAAAGTAAAGGTATCGTAGATTTTAGGCTATGGACCTATATGGATACTGTATGTATGAGATTCAGTAGTAGACTACGATTATTCGATTGATACATTTTAATCCTTTTACGGTTAATCTTGTTTTGAAGTCCAAAAGAGATCTAAGTGGCGTGTAATTGGAGAGGCGTATGCCCAGCAATGGACTGCGATAGGTTGATTATGATGATGGTTAATCTTTGTAAGTAAGATAAAATGTCCTCTAATACTCTAAGCTAAGATTTAGAGCTAAAGTGCCTTTGATGGAATCGAATCCTAATTATCAAAATAGTGATGTCCATGATCAGGTGTATTACAATAAAGGCAAAGACAATGATGATCATAGGTGTTTGATTAGTTGACACACGCGAACTATGGATTAGCACATCAACGTATGATGGATGCCGCATATAATAACAATACTCATTGGATATAGTAATCAATTTGTTTTATCTAATGAGTTGAACAAAATGTGAATGTAATGACGCTTATTCGTATTTCGAATGTAGAATTAGTGGCTGAAAATAATGTACTTATTTATGGCGCTTTTTATTTATAAACCTGTCCGACTGTTTACGGTTTTTAAAACTATTTAATTTAATTGAGACTGATAGTTTCTTTAAACGTACTTTAAAGTAAAGTAGCGCTATTAAATATAGAACGCGTTTTAATATGATTTTAAAGGCATACTTAAACTTAAAGTATACTCTGCTGGTAGCTTTTAAGGTGACGCCAAAATAATTTTTTGTGAAGAGAGTGATAAAAGCAGAAAGACGAATATTTGATGGATTAAGTAATAAATGCAATATATAATTATGAAATTAAATGGAGTATACAAGAACTTCTAAAGTTCTAAAGTTCTTGTATACTCCATTTTTTTTAATCATATTTAATTTACAATATGTCATATCATCTGCCTACCCTTTTCCCAATTTTATTTGGGGTCGGCGCAGTATGTATGATTTTTCCATTCTACTCTGTCATGCGTCATCTCACTGTTTACTCCCTTGCTAGCCATATCCTCCCTCACGCAGTCCATCCACCTTTTCTTCGGTCTGCCTCTTCTCTTATACCCTTCAACTCTCATACCTAAAACTTTCTTCGCCACATTTTCCTCATCCCTCCGCATGACATGTCCATACCAAGATAACCTATTACTTCTTAACTTTTCATCCAGTGGCGCTACTTTCAGCCTCCCTCGTATATACTCATTCCTAACCTTGTCCATCTGAGTCACACCACACATCCATCTCAGCATTCGCATTTCGGCTACGTTCAGGCGTCTCTCATCCGTTCTCTTAATGGGCCAACTTTCAGAACCATACAGTACGGCAGGTCTGATAATAGTTTTATAAATTTGTCCCTTCAGTTTTAAGGGGAAACTGGGGTCACAAGTTGTTCCCGTTACCTGCCGCCACTTCATCCATCCCGTATTGATTCGATGCTGTACAGTTCGATCAATCTCACCATCACATTGTAAGAGGGAGCCGAGGTACTTGAAATTGGAGCAGACTGTTATCGCTATCCCATCCAGCGAAATGGTTTCAGGACTGGAGAGACCGCCGAAATCGCAGAACATGTACTCAGTTTTAGTTCTGCTGATTTTCAAGCCAACATTCTCCAGCCTTTGTTGCCATTTTTCCAGTCTGCTCTGGACCTCAACCCCATCCTCACCGACCAACACAATGTCATCTGCAAATAGCATGCACCAAGGTGCCTCCTCCTGTATGTACGATGTCAGAGCATCCATTATCAACAGGAAGAGGTATGGGCTCAGAGCTGATCCCTGGTGCAAGCCTACAGAGAAACTGAATTGATCAGTGTTTCCCGTGACCGACCTTACATGAGTGCTAGACTCTCTGTACATAGCACGAATCAATTCTACATACTTAACAGGCACTCTTTCTTCTTTCAAAGCCCACCACAAAACCTCTCGGGGTACCCTATCATATGCCTTTTCGAGATCCACAAACACTATATGCAAGTTTTTGTGCGCACTCCTGTATTTCTCACATAGTTGGCGCATTGCAAATATAGCATCTGTTGTCCCGCGTCCTGGCATAAACCCAAATTGACTTTGGGTTATCTGACTCTCATCTCTTATTCTTCTCTCAATCACTTTCTCCCAGACTTTCATAGTATGTGACATGAGCTTTATTCCTCGATAGTTGTTGCATTCCTGAACATCTCCTTTGTTTTTGAAAATGGGTACGAGTTGGGTTTGACACCATTCCTTTGGGATTACCTCTTCAAGCAACAACATATTGAAGAATAGAGTCAGCCACTTATATCCGTCTTCTTTCAGTAGCTTCCAAACTTCATCTGGTATACCGTCGGGGCCAACTGCTTCTCCATTTTTCATACTTCGTACTGCCAATCTAACTTCATCTATACTAATCTCGTTCACCAGTCCGACATTCACATCTACATGCTTTAGCACTCCGCTCCATTTATTCTCTTCATTCATAAGTTTTTCAAAGTAAGATTTCCATCGCTTTTTTATATCTTCATCTTTAACCAACACTCTCCCCTCTTCATCTTTTATACATCTCACATGCTTCAGGTCTTTTGCTCTTTCTTCCCTGTTCTTTGTAATGCGGTAGAGTTCTTTTTGACCGCTAGGTTCATGTAGGTGTTTAAATATGTTATATTGAGCTTTAGCTCTGGCTACCGCTACCGCTTTTTTTGCATGTCGGACTGGTGAACGAGATTAGTATAGATGAAGTTAGATTGGCAGTACGAAGTATGAAAAATGGAAAAGCAGTTGGCCCCGACGGTATACCAGTGGAAGTTTGGAAGCTACTGAAAGAAGACGGATATAAGTGGCTGACTCTATTCTTCAATATGTTGTTGCTTGAAGAGGTAATCCCAAAGGAATGGTGTCAAACCCAACTCGTAACAATATGTCATTGATACATAATATACTAGCAGATTTACATATATCAACATACACACACATAGGTACAGTATAAATAATACTAGATAATTAGGTACAGAGTTGTGTACTAATGCGTTTACAATTCTGCCATCTCATTTCAGAGATCAGTCTCTCAGGGTAGGTAACCTCCCTCTTGTAATTGGAAAATGGCTAGTTGCCTGTTCCTGTATCCTGTTTCGAGAGAAAAACTGACTCATATTGAAAGAAGGATTGACGAAGAAGTAGAAAATGTGCAAAGCAGATTATTTGTAGATTAAAGATACTAAATAGAGAGCGCCGAGAAAAGAAAAGTTGATTTACACTTTTAAAGTTGTTTATATCTGTAGAGGAAAAAATTTTGCTACTTAACCCTGCTAGCAGTTTAGGTAAGCGGGTATCGTAATCAACGCATATTTTGCATTCGCGTTGTCATAGACTGTAACGGGTCTTAACCAAATAAAGATCTACGGACGATACGAGATAAAAAGAATCGCTGCCAATTAAGTCCACCAAATGATAACCCATAGCTCCATTTTTATTTAATTTATAAGACTATAATTTAAACCATATATTATTTTCGCGAATCTAATAAGACCATATTAATACGCTTGTATTCAAAGCCACAGATGAATTGCCTATACATATGACTTTTAAAGTACGTTTGGAATCTAAAGAAGTATATGCACTACCTAATTACGCTATCCATCAACTAAAGCAATTAATAAGAAGTCTACTTTATTTTTAAAATCACTAAATATCTATTTCAAATTTAGAACTTGAGATGCAGCTAAAAACCGCAAATAGATTATTGTCCAACATCTAATCAATAGAGAAGCCCATTCTGTTGAAATTATACTCGATATAATGTAGATCAATTACAAAACTTACGGTATTTATATCGAGTTACGGCATTGGACACCTAATCGATTAATTTTGATCTAGTTTTTTTTATTTATCGTATATATTTAATTTATGCATGGGTTGCCGGATGTGGTGAAAACTTGTCGTGTCGTGTGATGACATAGGTGCTACGAAACTTAATTGTTTATAGCGTGTAGTAGTAGCAGATTAATTAACATGTGAGTAATTAAAGTTAAAATGATATATACGTTAATTACTAATTATAAGTTGCAACATATTGACAAGACCGATAGTGTGACTCGCGTCTTTTTCAATAGTAAGTATTATATATTACATATATATATACGTACGTATACTTTTTCAATAGTAGGTATCTGGCGGTCAACTCTATAGCGTGCATTCTTTGGTCAAATCAAATAGCGAACGCTTCCCCGGTTTCCTGTTACACGCTTCCGTTACTTTACACGTTATTACTCCCACATATTGCAGAAAAGAGAGAGAGAGCTTCGGCACATAATTATGGTCCAGGATCGACCGGAGTGATACCAGGGCCTTACAAAAAATCAGTGCTAAGCAATTCTTTTATTGCTGTTCACCGAGTGGGTGAGGTTCCCGGAGTCCAAAATACCCCCTCCACCTGGTACAAGTCACTTACCATCGGGTGATCCGTCTGGTCGTTTGCTCCCTATACCAAACCAAAAACAGTTGAACTCCGAGAGTGC